AATCAGGAGGGAGTGGGAGAATGTGAAGAGGAACGGGAGCACCGTCGCGTATTTCCGGCTGGGGCACCGCTGCCACGATGAGCGTCGATGAAAGGAGAGAGCGTCCCTCCTTCTCTATCTTGTCTCTCTCTGGAGCTACATTTACCGGTTTCATGAAGCGACACAAGCGTTAATAAAATCGCGCGATAAGTAGCGCGTATTAGAGTAACGCGTATTTTCGAAAATCTCTCTCCTAGGGCCTTTTTCTTCCCATCCGGTAGATACGAGAGATTATCATACGACTGTATATTGACAGAGTCCAGTCGTGGCTTTTCACCTCGCTACTTTCCCCCCCAAGACACGACGAAGAGGAGAAATTCTCTTGGAAGGATTGCTCACTTGACGCGTGAATATAAATATTCATAGGCGTGAATATTCGACTGGATTTCTTAAGACCTTTTTTCGCGTAAGATTGAAGTTCAGGAATGACTTTGATCAAACTTTAACTGGTGATTGACTAATGCTTATACTATTTAATTAACGGTATATATATACATAAATAGCTTATATAAATAAATAGTATTATTAATTCTTTATTTAATATGTAAAAAATATTAAATTATAGAAATTTTGTGGCAGGCAATTCTTAAGTTAATCGCCGATTAAGTTCATCAAGTTTTAGACAAAATTATGCCGAATAGCAATGTACCGTTAATTGCAGTAATAATATTTTTATCCAGTTGGTTTCTAAATACTTGGTTTCGCGTGTTTGTACTATTAGAGCGCAAAATACAATAATAATATAAGTAGAAAGACCTCGAGTAAACGTTCATACTTGAACTTCAATCTCGTACGGGCGATAAAACGGTTCTCGCCGTTACGGTACCGGTACGCTCGCCGGTACGCGAGCTCGCGTACCGCCGTTTAGTGTTTAACATGCTCTCGTTAACGCAACACATTCTCTTTGCAGAGAAGAGCCCGCCGTTGGCGCGAAAGCCCGCAATAACGAGGAAATTAGCGGCCAACGTCATTGTGAAGCAAAAATCCACCGCAGCGTCGATAAAAGGTACGTGCACGATTTTACGTATCGATTTCTTTCGCCGTTCGGAAGGCGGATCTCCTTCCCTTCGTCGAGTCAAGTTTCACCGGGACAAGAGATCGGTTAAAACTCGTCATTCTGCAAACGACAATTAAACACGGTCGCCTTGCAAAAGGACAGGACGGAGTGTAAATTCACCTTCGCGCGTGTCGTACTTTCCAATCCATTAGCCGTGCCACTTTAATGGCAGCCAGTTTCTAAAAAAGTTCCCACGTTTATTCTGCGACACACGTACGCTCGTGCACGCACACGAAGGCACACGTCAAGCGCATTAATTCACCCAGTGCGGTAAAACGCATCGCACGCGTCCGACTCGTAAGAGACGTCCAAACGGGTCGCGATGTCCCTGCTCGTATCGTAACTTACGGTTGTCATCTTTCCAATTTTTTTAGCCGAAGACCCTGACTTTTCAGACGAATCTTCCGAGTCGTAAAGAAGTCTTCTGCTAATCATCCTAAATTCTGATAAACTTTGATGATGACTTTTTGGGAGAAGAAGTGTACGCATCTCACGGAAATAATTTTTATAATCTACTACTCTCTATAAATTAAAAACTTCTCTCTAAAAATTTTCTGTAAATTTTAATATCTTTAATGATAAGCCTAAGACGATTTGATATCTTGATATATTATCGCTAAATGCACGTATACAAATGAAAATAAATAAATTATTGTCACAAGCTAAACTTGAATTGGAAACATCATGCTGCGTTATAAGAAATCTACTTGAGATATTTTATATTTTTGTCATTTGATATTTATTTTATTTAAAGCAGTAAAAAATCATGAATTGCTCGATATATTATAAAATTGTTGAAATTTTATTTGAATATATTTCATTATATTGCAATAGATATATTTTATTATATTGCAATAGATATTAATAAATCAAAGAAAATCATATAAAATTCTTTGATCTCGTATTGTTCTATGACTCTTTTCTATTGACTTTCTAGATGACCTTTTCTTTTTAAACCACTCTAATGGTGGCAAACGTGGCGATTATGGCGTGCATACATGCGTGTCCCTCCGCGTACGAGTTTTGCCCGTTTCGAAGAAAGTCACGGCTTTCACCCAATAGTCTCGAGCGCTAAAAATCAACCCGTTTACGGGCTGGTGCGTCGGTGCTTTCCTTTCAAAACTCTTCAAAACCTTCAAAGCCAGCACTGGATCGTCTAGACTAGGAAAAAAAACAAGAGATCTCTATCAAGAACCGGCCGTCCGTTCTAAATAACAACGGAATAGCGAAAGTAGTTTCTGCGTCTTCGGCTCCTTCATCCGGGGCGGGTGATGCGAGTCTGAAAAGATGCCTTGTTTTACGGACTAATCGGTCGCCCGTTTCGTCCGTTTCTCGCATTCGACGTTCCTCGTGGCGTTCCTCATAAGAGACGTTGTGTACGAGCGATTCGCGATGCTCGGCGATCGTAAGTAAGCGCGAACATCGCGCTCGTCTCCTTCCATCTAAGGGGCGACTCCAAATTGGAGAATGCTGGTTACTTGCGCGCGCTTGCACGTCACTTTTGGTGTCCAGGGACGCCGGAAGTACAATATAATACAATCGTCATGGAGAATTTTGCTGGGCGACGAATAAAAGACGCGATCTTCCTCCAATATCCTCTTCAGCCAGCGAGGCTCTCGTCCAGGAGAAAAAAAAATCCCCGATGGGAAAAGGCGTGTTTCCCGCGCGATAGGATCCGGAGAAGGTGGTGGTCCATCGGTCATTCAGACCTAGAGCTTCCACCTTGCATGGTAGGAGAGACGTTCAGGAAGACGACGTGGACGTGGGGTGGGAGGCATATAGCTCTCTGAGGTGGCCCGCGGCTCGTGCTAATTCAGTCGGAGCGCGAACTCGGCCAGCGGATTGTTACGAATGACGACCCTGATTAGAATCGTATCGATCACGGGCCCACCGGAGGAAAACCGAGACGTTCGCGCCGAGCGAACGGTAGCTGGCGGAGCATGAACGACACGACCCGTCCGGACATGTCGCGATCATCGTACACACTCGAACGTCAAGGATAACCGTAATCCCGACGTATACGGATCTGTTTACGTCGCGCGTTTCTTGCACGGGTTGGCGATAGATATCCCAGAACGCTACGCGGATCCGTTCCCAAAATACTTGAGTTTTTCTGACGGATGACGTGATGGAGGGGACGGCAGGTGCCAGGGGAGACGTGTAGGAAGCGAATTTTCTTGGCCGTGGCTCGCGAACGGTAGTTCGGAGCCGAGGTGTCTTTTGGCAGTTTCGCAACTGGAGCCCGCCGCGCGTCGCAACGGGCTGACCTTAACCCGACGTCTCTTCATTGAGCGACGAACTTGAATAATAATCGCGCGCTCGAAAGGGGAACGTGGAAACGACGTGGAGCCCGCCTCACGTCGCGCTCTCGCAAATCAGGATGCGACGTAAATGTGCGAAATTCACTACGTGGACGATCGCTCCGTTCGTTCAAGTCCAATGAGTCGCGACTTCCCTGTGCGCGCTTCTATGTGTGTGTGTGTGTGTGTGTGTGTGTGTGTGTGTGTGTGTGTGTGTGTGTGTGTGTGTGTGTGTGTGTGTGTGTGTGTGTGTGTGTGTGTGTGTGTGTGTGTGTGTGTGTGTGTGTGTGTGTGTGTGTGTGTGATACGTGCACATGTATGTGTGTCATGTGTCAGAGTGATGCGGAGCTGACACCGATCGGGCTTGACGGAGACGGAACGCGCGTCTCGACTTTCCAAGTTCTTTTCCTCCCCGGCTTCTCGGCTTTCCTGCCCCTTTGATATGCACGAACGTCACCTGTGCTTTAAAGACCTTCGACAGTGCCAAGATCGAGCAAGCGAGTGCCAACGATTTATTATCTTCGGAATTATACGTTGACCTTCCCCGCAACAATTCTAGTGGTTTACGGACCGACCAGGGATAATAAGGGGTGCCCGTGTATATTACATGCGATCAAGACACTTGTGTAGATTGACGGCACGTGGGCCGACTCATTGATACGTCGGAGCGGCGAGGGGGGGGGGGTGGGTCGATCCGGCCGACATCGGGTTTGCGTCGCGTACGCGTCCGTGAGTTTCGAGGGACAGCCGTGAGTTTCGAGTGATGCACCCGACGCTGATTGCAGATCGTGAGTCCAAGGAGACTCATCACAACAACACCTTCACGGTGAGGACGTCGCCGGAGACGCGCGACCAGGCCGCGCAGACCAGCGTGCCCTACGTGGATTTCCGCACGGAACAAGTGGAACGTGCCGCACAGGCGCTCGCGGTGAGCGTACACTACTTGGCGTTCGAGGTACGTGCGTTTATCTTTTACTACTTACTGTTTGCCATTTAACGAACGGGAGAAAGAGAGGGAGAGAGAAATGAGGGAGAGAGATGTGCGCGAATCACATAACGGCATAACGAAAGCGCGTATCTTTCTCAGCTGGATGCGTTCGCCACTCCTAAGCTGAAGAAGGATTTCGAGAAGCTGAAGGCCGACTACGAGGAGATGAAGAACGAGCGGTCGGCCCTTCTCTCGGAGATCGACGTTTTGCGCGCGAGATGCGTCAGCATGGAGGAGAGACTCGAGGCGGAGACGGAGGACCATCGTAAAGCTCTGGATCAGCTTCGCGATGAGCGTGAGTGTTATATAATATATCTGTTTATTTTCTTCGGGTCTCGCTCTCTCTCTCGCGGGTTGTGTGTACGACGAAAACTCGCGATGACGCAACTCGCAGGTAAAAGAAAGATCGTCGAGCACGTTGCGCGGCGAAACGAAAAACCGTATTATTCGTATAAATATGAAGTATTGCTAACGCCAGTGGATATTATTCTTCGTGTTGCTCACGTGATAACGAGCGTAATCGTCCTAATGTCAGCGCACGACACGCCTGCACGAAGTGGAACAATTATTAATTAAAGCGAACGATTCAGCGGTGCCTACGCGCGACTCGAAACTTTTCTGAACGTCCTTTTCGTATTAAAAAAGACATGTTGATCTCTTCGTTGAAGGATTTGGTTCTTAATTTAGTTCTCACGTAACGTTCGACGTTTCGATAGCTGCTAATTATAGATTTAATGCGTGTTCTCCATTTAGCTTTGTACATACTTTTCAACTCAGGGCCAATAATACTGAAATAAGATACATTTATATTAAATTAGAGAGAGAGAGAGAGAGAGAGAGAGAGAGATAGTTAATTTAAAA